CAATCTACTTCCATAGTGATACTGCCTTGGAAACCCAAGGAGGGGTCGCTATGAGTCGGGTCCAACTTGACGGCACATAACAACAACAACAACAAAGTCCAGTAGGAAATGTGAGGGGGCAGAGGAGGGAAGGGAAGGGAGGAGAGAGAGAGGAGGAGAGAGCAGGAAAGAAGAGGAGACAAGGAGAGACAGAGATACAGAGAGAGAGAGAGAGAGACAGAATACAGCCTTTGACCCTGATGTGAATATTTTTGAACCAGCCCAGAAGCTATCTCTAGGGTGACTAGGGTGCACAGGTTGTCCAGCAAACCGAGCACTGTCCTGTAATAGTGAGCATCTTGGGCCCAAGTCTGAAGCAGCCTTTTTGTCCATATGAGGCACTTTACCAGTTTCTGGCTAAGTGAGTACCACGTGAGTGGACCTCCTCATTTTGAAGTCTTGGGATGGTGAAGCCTCATTTCAACCAGGTCAGAAATCAGAAGGGTCTCCCTCTCAACTGTTATTGTCATAGATAGTCTAGGCCCCAGTGAAGAAAGTTGGTGGTATGACGTGTGATTCCATACGACAGGTCATGGTGTTGTGTCACGAGGTCACCTGCCATGTTCACAAGGACAGACCCTGCCTTTCTCACCTGGCAACCTCCCGGCCCTTGGCATCTGCGGGACTCTCCTGGCTGTTCCCCTTTGAGCACACTTTCCATGGTGCCTCTTCCCTGCTCTGCCCTCCTAAGTTGGTATCTCCCTAATATTGGGATCCCCCAAGGTTCTTTCTTCAATGTTCTTATTCTTGACAAGATTTTCCAATACTGTGTGCACTGCCACAGCTTCAGCCAAATGAAGATAACTCCCAAATGGAAACCTCAGTCTTACCCTCTCTCCTAAGCTCCATACCTGCAGTAATGACCTGTAGAGAGTTCCACCTAGATGGACCATTAACACCTTGAATGTCTCTCAAGCCAAATAGCTAACTGGATCCACCCTGTGCCATATATCGGTTAATAGCAGAATGGTCCTCTGTCACCAGGATGGGTTTCTCCACACTAGTGAGTAGTTTCCAAGTTGGGTTTGGTAGGGCTCCAGGGCACTGTGGTAGTCTCTGGGGCCAGGGGCATTGGAGGCCCTCCCCTCCTTTGGCTTCCATCTGAGCTGTTGTGCTTTATATATTAACCAAAACAAAACAAAACAAAACAAACAAACAAAAAAACCCAAACTCACTGCTGTTGAGTCAGATCTGACTCATAGCGACCCCTCCTTGGGTTTCTGAGGCAGTGTCACTATGGAAGTAGACTGCCCCATTTTTCTCCTGAGGAGTGGCTGGTGGGTTGAACTGCCAGCCTTCTGGTTAGCAGTCAAGTGCTTTAGGCACTACGCTACCAGAAGTCCTGTAAATAATTGCATTTCAAAAAATAATGATGTTCCCAAAGTGTTTTCTGAGAACCACTACTCGATTCTATTTAATTTCTTCCTCTCCATTACCCTTATCCAATTAATGAGCAAGTCCTGCTGAATTCACCCCCTCTATATCTCTCAAACCTGCCCCCTCCTCCCCCTCAGCCTCAAAATTCAGGCCCTCATGGCTTCTTTTTAAAAAAAAAACCATAGTAAAAAAATATATATAACAAGACATTTGCATTTCAACCTTTTTCTGTGTGCACCATTTAGTGACATTAATTAAGTTCAGTGTGGTGTGCAACTATCACCACTATTCATTTCCAAAATTTTCCATCACACCTTAAAGAAGCTCAGTGACTCCCCTTCCTCCTCCCACCACAGATAACCACCAATAAACTTTGGTCTCTGTGCATCTTCATAAGTTCTGAAACTATCAAATAGCTCCTGGCCTGCTCCAGGCTCCTGGTCTCCAGGCTCCAGACCAACTCCTCCAATTCCCCCATCCTCCACTGGCCCCTTCACTCACCCAAACATACTGTCTGCTTTGCTTTCAGATCATCTTAGTTTGAAAAAGCCTTGCACGCATTTTTAAAGAAGTCTCTGGGTGGTACAACAGTTAAGCAGTCAACTGCTACCTGAAAGGTTGGTGGCTTGAGACCCTTCAGAGGCACTTTGGAAGAAAGGCCTTCCGAAAGATCAGCCATTGAAAACCCCCTGGAGCACAGTTCTACTCATGACAATGGGTTGACTGGTTTCATTTCTAACCCTTACTCAGCCATGACAGCCCGGCCTCTTCTTTCAGGAACTCTGTGTTGAGCCCATGGCCAGGGGCCATCCAGAGGCCCATCTCTGTGCCTTGCTGACAACACTGATCACCAACTATTTTAAATTCTAGTTCTTTGGGCACGCGGCTAGTTCCTCCCTTCAAGCGCGAGCTCTTCGAGCACAGGGACCCTCTCTCATTTATGCCATCATGCCACCACCCAGCTTGCCGCCAGTCCAGTGCTCTCAGGATTGGCTGCAGGCCTGAGTCAGAAGGGCCACTGTACAAATGAAAGCCAAATGTGAGCATTTCTTATATCCATGAAGCCCCATCTTTTCCAACTGACCCTGGACTTACTGAGTATCAACTACTTCTGACCACCAAGAGCTCCCTGAGATAAATGTGTGGAGAGAGGCTGCACATCTAAAAATGGTGATGGTGGAGATGGAGGAAATATTGTGAAGATCATCAGAATGATTTTAGTCAACATTTTATTAACATCTAAAATAATCACAGCGTTTGAAACTGCTAAGCTAGCTCTGTTTCAACCGGCAGAGCCAGACTGGCCCAGACCAAACAGTGGGGTCAGCCCAAGTCAGCGTTACTTGTCTCTACAGCCAAGATCTGTGGCAAGAACCTCGACATAGCACATGAACCACACACACACGGCTGATGTCATTCCTGGCACATCTGACTGAATAGCGTGTTTCCTCTATGATCATATAAGCTATATAAACATGTCCTCTGTCCACACTCAGCCACCCATTGAGTCAACAAATACAACTTCTGCCTAAATGGACCACAGAAGGCTCTGAGAGCATCAAACAGAAAACACTTTGGGAGCTCGAGAAGCCAGCCAGCATCTACAAGACCATCAAGTCAAATCCACCACTTTTATGGACTCAGATATTTCAGAGGTAATCTGTGGCAGTGTTATAGCACTATACCTCAAGTCTCCTAACTCCTAGGCTAGGGTAAACATTATACCACAAACTCCTGCAGACTTCAAAGCATCAGTAGGAAAAAGGCATGGCCAAAGAAGAGACGCCGGTTGCTCAGTCCTATTATAGTGAAGCAGTGCCAGCTGCAGTGGTCAGTATTATGCAAGTGTCTCCCCTCCACCCCCAAGAGAGCAAGGGACTACACTGAAGGCTTTCTAAGGCCCTGGCTCTCGGCCCCTGCAATCTGACCGGGGAAGTAAGACAGGGGTAGCGCACTGCCATCGAGTCGGCCCGACTCATAGCGACCCCTCCTTGGGTTTCCGAGGCAGTATCACCACGGAAGTAGATTGCCCAACCT